AAACTCATCCCTTCGAGGTGGCAAGTTTCAAGTTTACTGTAACAAATATCGTAAATCCCTAATTAAATATCAACGTCCCCTATTGAGCTAAATAATTAAATTTTTTGCCCTATTGGGGAGGAAACCTATAAAAACGATATAGGTGCAAGTTTCATATATTGCGCTATGCCTATAAAGAAGGAAATATATTGTCTTAAGAGAGTGATTGAGTGCAGTAATTTTGCATTGAAGAGAAAAAGAAAATTTGAAGTTTAAAAGCAAAGTAGTTATACATTCTATTAACACGTCTTTTGGGGGGGGGGGGGAATAATAACTTTAAAAGAAAAGATAATAGTATTTTTGGCATAAGTAAGATTAGTAATTTTTTCCCTTTACATAATTAATAGTATAAAACATAGATATTATTTCTAATATCGCACTTAGATTTGATAAGTGTATTAGCGTTTTCCATTGGAACTCAAACACAGCACCGAGCAGTAACATCGTTTTCAGTGGCTGATTACATATCATCATATAATAATGGAAATGTTGCCTTGCCATGCTATATATCTGTCTCCCAACAAATTTAATTAAAAATCGATGTTGCCATTTTACTTAGTATTATATATACACCCCCTTAGATTTTCATGCAATATGCAGTAGTTTAAATTTCATTGATATAATTGTGTTTTGTGAGATCAGATCGCCTATTGTGTTGGGATCGGTTTACATTCAGCTGTGCTTCCCTTTATAAAATGATATATTTATTACTAACATATATGTATTCAGTTTGCTATATATGCTATGGCCAGCAGGATTCTTACATGTGTATTCATTAAAAGACACCAATTGTAAAAGGTTTAATGATATTTTTTGTTTTGTGACTTAACAAAATTATTTTTGGATTTTTTTATTTTTATTAAATTATTTGAATTTTTTTATTAAATTAAATGGCAGAAAAATTAACGGGTCCCTTAAGTTATAATCAATTGTTTTATTTTTTTATCATTGATGCTGTTTATTTTATTTTGTGTGTAAAAAACCAAAAATAAAATATTTACAAATAATAAAAATTTAGAAGTATAAAATATATTTTTTAAATTAATGAAAATTATAAAAATTGAAAAACATGATTTTTAAAAAATGTGCAAATATGTTATTTTTGTTGATTGGTTTAATTTAATAAAAAGAGTAAAAGTAAAAAGTAAAAATATTGATTGATTAAAATATTTTTTTAAAAAAAGAATCCGAAGGCTAGAAATATAATAATAAAAAATGAATTTAAGCCGGAGCATGATGTATTGAAATTGGTTAGGTAGTTGGTCACCTAACTTTAGGTTGGTACAAATATGAATTCAAGTGGGAATATTCAAAACTCATACCAACTTTTGTTAGGATTTGTTTAGTGGGGTAAATATAAATTTTCTGCTTCCTCTTTTTCCATACAGATTCTTTCCACAATGTATACATAGATGCTCATAATTTACGTCAAGTGGTAATTAATTCCTATAAAAATATTAGGTCTTAGATATGTCTTGCCCTGGATTGGAAGAGTCACTCTTGGCCTAAACATTTTCATACAAAAAAAAAATAAAAACGCTATGATGTAACGAAACAACAAAATCATTACAATAGATTTGCGACATATTAAAAAAGTATATAAAATAATTATTAATATACCAACAATAGATAGATGATATAGTGAGATGCGTTACTAGATTCTTTAAGTAAGGTCGAGAGTTCAAAACTTGACGTTTACATATGGAGCAAGTTGAGTTAGAAGGGTCACCGCCTCTATAAATTTTGATTTGAATTAAATGATCAATGATCGAATACTAGTGATTAATTAAAAAATAATTATCAATATGTTTAACGTTTTATTAGTATGATTTGAAAATAGATGCTTAAAGTAGGTTAAATGTTTGTAAATTAAATACTCACCTGAAGAAATAATTGATCTAAGAATGCAATGAGTTTGTGGGCTTAGAATTATTTCTCCAATGTTTGATTAAGTCTAAAAATATATTTTAGATTAATATGTTATACTAAAATATTAAATTCAAGCTAAATCAACTCGATGTTTAAAGTTTTATTCTGTAATTTGACTCAAACTATTTGTCACCTAAGTCGAAGGATGTGCATATCTGGTAAATAAGCCCCTCAGCTTCCATTATTCGGGTTTAAATCCTAAAAATAACCTTAATAGGACTAATTGAGTCAAGGATCGTAAAAAGGTAGATTGTGTTCGTTGCGCGATGGTCGAAATTAGAAGGCGTGGGCTTTTCAAGGTGTTGCCTCATTGTTCAAGTGCCGATTAATTCCTAGAAGGTGGCGTAGTCGAGATAGGCTTGTTTGGATTATCGATAGTGTTCTATGGCCAGCACTTAGTGGTCTTTCTCCGAACATATTTTGGTAGCTGGGAATTATAGCATGTCATGAAATATGGCGAGTTGGGCGGGCTAGACGTTTTTCAGTTTTTTATTTTTATTCTCCCATGTATACTTTCAATTGGCGTATTTTTTTTACTTTTTAGCCTTTTATATTTAATATAAGCTTTTGTCGGGTTAAAAAACTCATAAAAAGATAGAAAAAACCGATAAAATGATAAAATGCAAAATTATTTGAGAAACTAAGCTTAATGAGAAAATTCAAGACTACTAAGTTTAACAATTGTTAGCTCATCATCAATCTCCCATTGTTGATTTATCAAAAAGAGACCCCGAAAATTGATAACTCTAGTGACCATTTTGTAACATTATAAAGTTAAGTGATCCAATTAAAAATTTACTAGTATTCAAGTGACTATCTAGATTACCTTAAGTTTTTAGAGTTGATGTTATATTATATATAAATAAATATAGTTAAATAATTTACTATTTCCAACTTTTGATTTATCAATTAATATATTGTAGTTTAAAAATTATATTACATATAACTCTGTTATATTTATATATTAATCTGAATTTGTAATATATTTTTTAATATTAAACCATTAAAGACAGCGTACATACCAGGCCTTGAGCATCAGCACCTGAAGTAATAAGCCAGAAAAGCTTTTTCAACACTACTACATAGCAAACAAGTATGTAGAAATGGAGGAATTAGCCAGTTGACATTCTTTATGTCTTATTAACTTGGACACACCGAACAGGAAAAACTCCACGACGAGGTGTGATTTTCATTAACAGAATGGTTTCACAACAAACAATAGTGTTCACCTTAAATATACTACTGAGGGAGCCATCGAATGTGGTCAATTGGATAAGTTTTTCAACTACTCCAATTATTAAATATATGCGTGTAACATCCTAATCCAATACGACTCAAAGATCGATGGACTAAAGTATCACTCGGGACCACTGAAGTGACTAATCCAAATTTTTTATTTAAAACATTTGTAAAATATCACTCGGGGACACTGAAGTGACTAATACAAAGGGTCTACGAACAGTACATGCCCTCTAAAATATGACTAAAGACGTACTTTGAAGCCTCGACGGGTCTGGAATCACTAGTGACGACTACCGATAATGCTCCTCAAAGGGTCTCCTAAGAATTGTGCACGAAAATACATTCCGAACGCTATGCTTATGAGCTCAGTGGCACACTAATAAATGTATTAAACTACGTGCGTTCACTACATACACATGCTAGTAGGCATAAGTATAAGCATACAAGAGCACTAACATGCAAAGTTGAGGTAGGCATTATGGTGTGGTCAGAGGGTTCTGCATCTCGGAACACACACCCCTCTAGCATACTATGATACCCTTGGGTATCTGGGGTGAGATTCGAAACTACATTAGAAACGTACACATACTAGCTCACTCTTGAGTGTCTTGGGCATCTGTGCGCAACCAACGACTGAAGTGTCATGGAACTAGTCGTGTCTTTGTTGGTCATTGGTAACAGGTCACAAAGTCCATGGTCACACTATCTTATTTCCACTAAGGTATCTGAATAAGCTGGAGTAACCTTGAAGGAACCCGGTGTTTCGCTTTCACCTGCTAACACACTAAACATCTAGTGACAAACTCAAACGCTTCCCCTTTCATGCCCGATCACCAATACAACTATCAAAGCTCTTGGTACATCTTATAACTGCCCGGGTGAATTGAGATTTCGGATCTGTGAAGGTACTAAGCCTTCCCTACACGTAATCGACTCCGAACCCAAATTTTTTTTATTACGCAAACCGATTTTGCCTTTTAAATGATTTTTATTTAAATTTCTTTAAAAAATTGGGTATTCGACCTACCTAACTCTAAAGATCAATGGCGATTCCAAACATTTCTCAAAATTCCGTCAAATCTACAACTAAAAAATTTGTCAATCTAAAAACGTCGTTATGACATAACATAGTGGAGGTGTTAGGATGTTTGAAAAATTAGAAATTTAAAAAAATTTGAGGGTAAATGAAATATAAAATCATTGTTCAAGGAATTTTTTGATGTTTTAGTAGTAGTTTAGAGATAAAATTAATATTAACCTTTCTGTTAATGTTGTCACGTCATCAACTTAACGGAGATGACAGTAAAATGACCATTTTGTTATAATCAATAACGTTAGTGATCATTTTATTATAAATAATCGATTATTTTAGTGATCAATTTATTACTTTCGAAACTTCAATGAGATAACAAAAAATTTCTCAAACATTAGTGATTATTTATGTAGTTTATCCTTAACAATATTACAACAACCACAAATAAAGATCGTACTCGTATTAGAAAGTGCATTTGTATTTTGATTATTGTTATTGATGGAGAGTTTACGTAATCTACATTCATGCATCGGCCTTTCCACTAATTACAAAAACTCTACCTTCAAATTATTCCCCTATTTTGTACATGAAATGAAAAGAACAGTACAACAAATATAAATCTTTTTATTTTCGTCTTTCTATATTTCTGTATCTCTATTCACATTTAGTTTCTCGATGGTACTTGAACTTGCCTCTGCATGTCTCATGCTTGAATTCATATACGTGTGCTAATCTTCACCTATTTATCCTTATTATGCAAACTCTATAAGTGGCCCAAATTGAAAATGAAAAAAAAAAAAAAATGTATAATGAATCAATAAGGAAGATAAGAGGGGGTGAAGGGGAGAATATTTCCTATACTTGGCTTTGGGTTTAGAGATGAAATTTGGAAGATAGAGGGCAAGGTTCTAAGTGTAGGTAGTTACTCAACTTGGAAATCAAGGAAATGAGGGAAGGAGGATATATTGTCCATCAAACCCTCTAAATCCCATTCTCCCATTTTCAAGTTTTCTCCTCCCCATTGATGATTTTCTAACCCAAATATGTCCCCTACGTTAATGCCCTGATGATCAGTGTTATTGAAGCAAGTGTTATTATTATTATTATGGTTGCTTTTTCTATGATCAATGCTGCTGTTAATGGCTGCTGCAGCATTTTTATCTCGATACTTCTACTCTCAAGTGGAGGAAGAGAAAAGTCACCTTCAAACCCTATTTTCCCAGGCTCTACAATCCCATAATCCCCATAAAAGCCCTGTGTTAAGCATGTGGGAACATCTAGTAAACCCGGTGCACACGTCAGATCGTAACGGTTGTTGATATCGAGCAGTGGAAACGGATCGAATTGGTTGTTTGTGACCATCGGCGGCGGCATGGATATTGTCGACGATGAGGAAATCGAGTCCATGCAAAAGGTCATCGCGTGAAGTTCGTGCAGAGGGAAAATCCCTCCGCCTGCAACGTCTCTGGGATCTGATGAATCGCTGTTGTTGGGTGATGAGGTTGCCGATGCGTTGTTTTTCAGTCTTTTCTTTAGTGTTGAGTTCCAGAAGTTTTTTATTTCATTATCTGTCCTTCCTGGAAGACGAGCAGCGATTTGAGACCACCTGCAAATTTCGTGAAAATAATAAGATGGGGATGGATCTAACTACAATCTATAATATAAAACTTCAAAAGATAAGCTAAAAGCTTGTTAAATACTTGAATTCCAACACATTTTAGGGTTTAGAGCATTTCGATTGAACATGATAGGCTCATTTTATATCTGAAAATGAAATGATACCCCAGAAAATGAGTGGTGATGCATGGTGCTGGTGTGTGGACTGGACAACTATTAGAAGACAACTACTTGAAGTATTCAAACAGAGATTGAGGAAACTTTGGGAAAGCAAAGCTTGACTAGAAAAGAAAATATGAGGATTTAAATTGCAATTGTGGTCAAATTTTTTGTTGCTTGTGTATCCCGATTGCGGCAACAACGAATGCAATAACGATTTCGAATGGCATCTTTATCGTTATATAACAATAGCTATTCTGATAACGGAATGCTATTCAAATCAATGGAACAGGTTTAACTTTTTAACTAGGTTCAAATGTAGCCAGAAATTTATTAGATCAGAAGTACCATAATCAATGGGATTGAACAGTCCTACTTTGATGTATCTATGACATTCCTAAGCGGCTCTAAATAATGAACTACACCAAGAACTTCTCTGGTAATGCACATTCCACACGGTTAAGAGCTTTCAATCTCATCAGAAATTATCGGTGTTTCACAATGTTGTTTATTCATGGAATGTTGTTCTAGATGTCTTGAGTTTGAACAAATTATATTTGCAGGGTGAATGTGTGTTGTCAATTGGTTAAGAAAATATTAAAATAAACTTGATAGGGTTTTAGAAGAGAAAGAGAACCTGTTGCCTAGGATGGAATGCAGATGTATAATGAGGTCTTCCTCTTGGGTGGAGAAGGCGCCACGCTTGAGATCAGGTCTCAAGTAATTAATCCAACGAAGGCGACAGCTCTTGCCGCACCTCTGCAGACCAGCATTCTTAGCAATGTCACTCCAACAGCCTTGGCCGTTGGTCAGCATGTACTTGATGAGTTTCTCGTCCTCTTCCGGTGACCACAGTCCCTTCCTCAGCTTCATCTTGTTGCTGTTGTTGTTAAGTCTTTCTTTTGCCATATTTTGATCAGGCTTCCTCATTGCCGTGCTGGGTCTCGATCTGATCTAGTGGAGCCTTCTTCCTCTTTTTAACTGGCTTGATGGAGATCAGAGAAAGGTGTAAATAGGTGAATGATGGTTGCATTGGAGAGAGAAACAGAAAGCTTCATGGGGCGGCAATGGTGATGATGATAGTGATGGTTGTGGGGTTCAATTGCTTTAAAATATGAACACGGACGGTATTGTTATGATTTTCGTCCCTTTGTTATACCGAAATTTGAGATTTAATCCCTATGCTTTAGATTTGGCATAATTTGATCATCTATTTTAAAAAAAAATTAAACTAATCCTAATCCTAATCCTACCTAGATGGTAGGAGAAGGATAACTCTAAGGGAAGTAAGAAAAGTGCTCTAGAAGGTTTAGAAATCACGATCTAAGAAAATATGAAAAGAATACAATAAGCACCTTGACGTAATATGAGATTTATTAGATCCTCTACTTCTATAATATTATTAGTAGGTTCAAATTTATTATAATGTTAGTTGTTTTATTAAAAAGATGACAAGTGTCAGTCACAAAGTTAGGATTATGTGAAAGTTCAATAAATTATATAATTTACATGTCATTTGAATGCTTCAATTTTTTCTGTTCATTCCTATGGACCAACAAGGTACTATCACTTTCCTAGACTACATCGTGTCGACGCCTAGGCATAGCCTGACATTGTCTCCTTGGGTATCCTACGAGTTCCTTAAAGCTTTGACACACCTTAAGGTTCATCTCCCCAAACTTAACCAAGGATTTCCCTAGGCTTGTGTTCATGTTGTTGGTGCAAATTGGCCTAGGGGTGGTGGTAGTTTCTTGCCTTGTAATAGTTTTAGAAAAGGTTCTCCATGTTATCACTTCCAAACGGTAGCAACTAAAGGTGTTATTAGTTTTTATATATTAATGATATTATAAAGTATAGAGATCAAATCATGTGAAATTAAAGTATATGAATAAAATATAATTTTTTAACATTAAAGAGGGATTAAAACCATAATTGGACCAATATGAATACATATATGTGTGTGAGAGAGAGTGTTTGTTAGTTGATGGGTAGAGTGGAAAACGGATTGGAGGGGGACCTCACTTGTGTGACACATAGGAGGAATGAGATGGGATGGTTGGTCGTCTTGTCTTTGACTCTATCTTGTCTTTTTCGATGCATTTTTCTTCACTCACAAGGTAATCACCATATGCATACGAGACACCCTGTTTTGCTTCCAATTCACATAATCCTCCTTCCCCCCCCCCCCACTCTCTCTCTCAATCCACACGTTTTTTTGAAGGATAACCCTATGCCCCATTAATGGACCCCCTGGACAGGGAGACAAGGAACCCCTACGAAGTCAGATCTCAAATATTAAAGTCGAGTTTCCGGTTACATTTAAGTTTATCACGATTACAAATATAACTGGTGTTATTACAATTATTATAAATATTACGATTATGCAATAACGTGAAGACACTAATTTTATCCCGGTTTTATTATTTTTATTATTATAATAATTATAATTATAATTATTTTATTAGTATTATTAAATAATTTATTTATTTACAGACCTAAATATTAAATCCCAATGCCCAATTACAAGACCTAAATGTGTAACTTAATCTCAATTAGGGTTTACATCCCAACCACCGCTGCCTCAACTATCCAGCTGCTGTCGACGCCTCAAACGCCAAGTGACCCAACCAGCAGCTACCGACTCCTTGCTGCCACGACACCACCATCGCCAAAGTCTCCAAAACCGCCACGAAGCCACAAACATCGCTGCTCTAGGGGTGAGTCACCACCATAGTTTGGTGACTTGCCAAAGCTTCCCCCTTTGGACTGGTCCTATACCGAGGAACAAGACAGCAACCCAGCAACACACAGAGCAAGCAAAGATACAGGAACAACAACGCATAACCACGACAACAACAACAATAAGATAGCAAACCAAAGGAAAAAGAAAAAGAAAGAAAAGGAACTTACCCCAACGTCGGACTCTCCATTTTTGAAGAGTTGAATCGCCGAAAATACGTCCTCAGATCTAGGACGATAGGAGGGTTTTTAAGGTAAACAACTCTCGGTTTTGACTTTAGGGGAAGCTAAGCTTCGAGTTAGGTTATTTTCCAAGTTCCACGGTGGCCGGCGGTGGCTATTGCAGGTGGTTATCGACGGTCAGCTCTCTCTCCGTTGAGAGCTGATAAAAGAGAGCTGATAAAGGGCCGGTTATGGGGTTTATATTACCCTCCCTGAACGGTGTCATTTTGGGGAGGGGTGTATGTGTAATTTTAGAATAGTTAAACCCCATCCGTGACCCTTCATATTTCATAAATTTCTATTTTAGTCACTGAATTACACTTCTGCATATATTAATTTTGTCTTCTAATTTTGTTTCATTTATAATTTAATCCTTGCCTGCTTATTTTTATATTTAGGGTAAATAATCGATTTAATCCCTTATCTTTTAATTAATATTTATTTTAATCCGATTAATTAATAAGGCTAAATTGCATTATTAGCACTTAGATTTTTTTATTATTCAAAATAAAACCTTTAATTTTAATAATTTTTATTTTAATGGTTGATTAATAATTAAGGGATAATTACAATATTAATAACTATATTTTATAATATATTGAATTAGGCTATTAATTTATATATTTTATTTTAATCCCTAAGTAGTAATTTATATATTTTATATTTCAATCCCTAACAATTTGATATTTTTCATTTAATATATTATTGCTTTTAATTTATTTCATTTTGATTTTGATTATTATTTTATTTTATATTATTTTTTATATATGTTTAAATTATTATTTTCATTATTATCTTATCATATATATATATATATATATATATATATATATTTATTTATTTATTCTATTTGTTTGTTTTTTTATTAAAATCCTATTTATAAATTTAATTTTATAAATTACTTTTAATCATATATATTTATTTTTCAATATTAAGAAAGGGCAGTCTTAAAGCAACTAGATGTCCATTTTCTGATATTTGTAAATAAATAAATATTTTATTTTACTTTTATAAATTATATATATTTTAATTATTTTTAGATAAATGTTTTATTAATATTTATTTATTTTTTAATATTAAGAAAAGAGATGTCTTAAAGCACCTAGAAGTCCTTTTCTGATATTTCTAAATAAATAAATATCTTATTTATATATATATATAAATTAATAGATTTTCTTAAAATTATATTAATAAATCTGAAATAACAGGATTATGAATTAAATATATTTTCAAATTTTTAAATTTCTAATAATAGAGACAATTTATAATTAATAAGTACCAATTTTGGGCGTTGTGGGGTGGTAATCATTCTCCAAACGTAATCGACCACAAATCCCTTTTTATTATTAAAAAGAACGAATTTTTGGTTAAAACGCAAACCAGTTTATCTTTGAACAGATATTTTCTTAAATACTCTTTTAAAAGATAATTTTTAGGTATTCGACCTACCTGACCCAAAAGGCCGATGGCGACTCCCTAAACATTTTAAAAACCATTTATTCATATCACTTTTCCCCCAAGTGAAAAATTCGTGCCCGGACGAAAACCAGTTACGACAGCTTGGCGACTACACTGGGATTTGGTCAAGCTTTTAAATGAATTATAAATTGTCTCTATTAATTAGAAATTAGAAATTTATATATTTAATTTATAATTCTTTCTTTTCAAAATTTTATATATACTTATTATATATATATATTTTACTTTATTTTCAGTTATTAAATTTCATTTTTAGTTGTTTGTCAAATGTTTGAATATTTCTCCTCACATATAACACATGCATTGCATAACATAAGCTTTATAATTAAGCTTGTCCCTTTTAAGTGGGAGTGAAAGCGACGTCTTCATGTGAATTTATTCTCCGTGTCAGACTAGCAAGTAGCTTTGGGGGATCATATATTCTATGTCTTCGTGAGAATTTATTCTCCATGTCAGGCATAGGGAAATGTGTCCCCTCGAATTGAACTCGATCCGCTTAAGTCTGTGATGGACTAGGATTGAGGGTTTGGTAGCCTAAGGGGGCACCAACAAGGACAATTCGAGTACCTTTACTCCTAGAACTGAAACCCTGCATATAATAAACCCTAGAAATTCTCCAAATCTAAGACTGTATGAACCTTTGTCCGTAGGTGTACACAAAGAAGAAATAAGCTCTAGCTTTTAATTTATTTTCTTTTCTTTTCTTTTTCCTGAATAAATGCATGCAAACTAGAAATCAAGCAGTTAGGTTAATTTTTCCAAACAAAGCATGGAACTAGAAAAGCATGAGGTTAGGATTTATACCTTGATAGATAGAATTTTTTTCTTTCCATTAATTGGTACCAACCAATTTATTTTTTTCCTTTCTCATTTTTTTTGATCTAATTTGTTTATATTGATTTCGTTTTATATTGCATGATCATGGCATAACCAAAAGGTGTTGACTTAAAAGGCTGTTCATCAAATTGGAAAGAATTCATAAATGGACAAAAAGTTTTATGATCAAGTAAAATATGACTCAGCCAAGGAAGGACATCCTGAGGAAACTCTGAGGGTAGAAGCGAGCTATGTACACAAAGATCCTGTTATATTAATACCAAAAGTATTCCACAAAGATCTGTTAGATTGATACCAAAAGCATTATATGAAAAAGTATCAGTCAGGGCATTCAAAATAAAGGAGGTTTTTATGAAGCTCAAGCATGTTATTTGAAGGATCAAAACAAGAAATTGAGAACAGAAGTGGAAACTATGCATGAAGATTTCCAAAAGATGAGTCAAGCCTTTCAAAGTGCTGGCATAGGAAATACCCCAGAAGAGTGGATAACAGGGTCACCAAACTGAAAAGGAACTGCAACATATATGAATATCTTGTCCAAGAGCTTCTTGGACAGAAAGGTTCTCTTACAAAGGAAAACGAGCAACTCCGAGAAGTGACACAAATATGAAGAAACACAGAATGTCATGGAAAAAGCTGCAGTCCAGACAAGC